TGGATCAGCGAAAATTCTTCAGAAGACCCGATATCGAGGACATCGACAAAATTCTGCAAGATCTCAAAGACCGAAAGGACGACGCAAAATGGCCTTTTCAAGGAGACGATACAGGAGAGGAATGGATATCTGCAGAGCAGCCGCAGACGCATGTGCAGGTAAAGTACCAAGATGCGGGACTGGTCTCTAGTACCTTGTTGTTGGAATTGCAGCCTTGGTGCTTCATAATGAATTCGCTGGGCTGTCATATCTCGCTGGTGTCGGAAGATACAGAGTTGTGCCAGATCCCTCACTACGGCATAGTCACGCCGCCCAAGTTGGAGGACACTTTTTACGTGGGCGTCGGAATCGGCGATACTTATTACATGTCGCAGACATTGCAGTTGGCGCGACCCGACTGGAGTCAGAGCTTCTATATGCCACGAATCAACGGCATCGTACCGGTGGACGGGAACATCAAGACGTTCGTAGACTGCGGTACGAGCGTATCTATTTTGAGCATCGGCTCTTCTATGCACGAAGACATGCGTCTGGTGCGAATTGCGAGCAGCCACGTGATCGCCAATTTGACGTCTCAGGAATTGTGCGTGGCCACGCTCGCGATACACGAAGAAGCAAGAGACCTGCAGCTACCGCATGATCTCACCCCTTGCAGCCTGAATGTCTCGCCGTCCGAGGATCAAAGGCAGGGTATACCAATCGTACAATGGTACACATTATACACAGAAAGCAATGTCGAGCCCCTCGTATTGTACATATCGCTCAGTCTCGGTCACAGATGGTCTTGTCCGATCAGAGTGGACCAAGCGATGAGTCGGAAATCCGTTGCAATTCCCAATGGTTCTTCGACTATGCCGGTTATCGTGACAACGCAAGAAGACAAAGGTACCACATTCATCGTGATACACGCTGACGATCATCCACAATTGTTGATCGAGAATGCTTGCGGCTTCAAGATCCTGCTGGGACAAGCCAATGAAAAAGGAAGCGAGATATTACCAGACAGCGTTCATTTTACGTGGATGTGTGAAGTCGATAGCGGAGCAACATCCCATTATTCTCTTCCCTGCGTCAGTAACAGGCTACCCGACACCATCGTTCCAAGTGCGTCAAACGTGCTGTTATTTTCCACCGTGCAAAACCATCAGGTGACAGAAAAGGCAAGTCTAAAATGGTCAAGAGGCGTGAATCTATCCGCATTGTCGTCTACACCGATGGACCAATATCTACGGTTGCCCTCGTATGGCGACGTGAAGCTCATAATGCAGAATCGTTGTTACACTATTCACATCAGCATCGTGCCTATCTCCCAGATCGAAATATCCGCTCAAGACATTAGAAGTAGATTACTGCGGAAGAAGTACACGGCAAAGGATCACGATATAATCGCACCGATCTCATCAAAAAGGTCAGAAGAGGATAAACTATTGCAATATGTACAAAGTTCGAGTAGCTCAACGTCGTTGACGAGCTTCTTCTCGGCTCAAGAAGACATCTTGCCGATGGAATCGATGGTTGTTTCGTCGTCGTCGAAGCAGTTGATTCCAAAAGTGGCGGAGGAAACTCCCACTGATGAAAGTCAATCGAAATCCTCCAGCAATGCCTCTTCGAATCCTAGAGAAGGCTCTATAACAGTTTATCTGCGCGCCTGTACCATCGCCATTCTTCACGACATCAATGAAAATGCGCAGAGAATCGAAGTCGCAAGTTTGTCCATGACGGATTTGGTCGTCACCGTAAATTCAAAGGCCAGATTTATCAATCTACATTGCTACATAGGCGACTTGCAATTGGATAATCAATTATTCGATCAGGGAGGTTTCGACTTCCCTGTAGTATTGATAAATCAGAATCCACTGCCCACCAGGGGAATGACGTTTTACAGCAATAATTGTTTAATGACGAATATGGAGAAAATTAAACAAGATTCTTTAATAGCTGTCGAGTATATCTGGGAGGTAAACGGAAGTATGATAGGTACGTATCTTATGAGAAGATGTGGCTATCGGGAAAAGAAATATGTAATACAATAAATAATATTTTATATATAATATATAATATTTTATACATTATATATAATAATATTTTATAATATAATAAATAATATTTTAAGCAAATAAATGTTTAGTGAATTTACATATGGATAATGTGATACATATTTCTATTGCAGCTTCAAAGGAATATCGCATGAGAATCGCGCCCATTAGTGCATATATCGAGGACACGTACATAACGCAATTGTTGGATTACGCAACTTCGATGATACCACCGCGTTTGGTATTAAATGACAGTCCCAAGAGGATGCAAACGATAGCTATTTTGAACGCAGTCTACATACCGGATTATATCATGATTGACTCGAAAATCTTGAGCAAGCCGTTGAGATTGCAAAACTTTGTAATAGAACCTCTGTCCATTTTGTTGAGCGTTCACACGTCCGTACGATTGTACGTCGCTCTGGACCATTCCCCATTGTACTTCGGTATCTTCGAGAGAAAGAATCTGTTGACTACCCCTTACAGACTTGGCAATGCGCTTACCATGCATTACTTATCCGGAGCTATATTTGGAGCAGGTCGGTAATACATCAGTAATACAGGGTGTTTCAGACCACCCGTATCACCCATTTAAAAACTAGAGAAGTGGTTATTTCAAAAAAGTTATTTAAAGATATTTTATGGTTTATGTAAAATTAAGATGTTTTATGGTTTATGTAAAATTAAGAAATGATTTCAAGCCTCATAACTCGAAAATATGCAATGAAAAATAGGGAGTTCCATGTAAAAAAAAATGCACTTCCGGTCTAAATCGCCTATTTCCGGCCGGAACCAGAAGTTGAAAATATCACCATTCGATAGAGCGCACCTGATTTATAAAGAAAATGTTTTTACTTTTTTTTAAATAATCACTTCTCTAGTTTTTAAACGGGTGGTACGGGTGGTCTGAAACACCCTGTATATACAAAATACACTTATCTTTTTGCTATAAAATAATGAGATAAAGAACAAAATTGTTTGGTTCGTCAGGTTGGGTGGTCGGATCATTAGAAATACTCGGATCACCAGGAGGTTTGGCACAAGCGCTCGGATCCGGACTCAGAGACTTCGTTTCACTGCCGTTTCAAGGACTGCTGCAGGGCCCGTGGGGCTTCATCGTTGGAATTACACACGGATCAGCCAGTCTGATGAAGCACGTTACAGCAGGTATAGAAATTATTTTCTTCCTTAATTATTCTAAGAGTATTTAAAGATAGATATAATCAATTGTGTTTCCTCTTTCGTAGGTACCGTGAATTCCGTAACAAAACTAGCATCTAGCGTTGCGCGAAACTTGGATCGTTTAACGTTGGACGAAGAACATCTTCAGCGACAAGAAGAATCGCGCAGAATGCGTCCTCAAGGCATGGCGCAAGGACTTTACCAGGGCTTAACTGGTCTGGGAATGAGTTTACTCGGTAGTCATTCCTTTTTTTTTTTGTTTTTAAATATCTTTCTCGTATGTAGATGATCGCTAATTATCGATTGTTGACTAGCGGCCGTGGCTGGCTTGGCGCATCATCCTCTGCAGCAAGTGTGGTCAGGCGAGGCGACGACCAAGAGTTTGGTCACTGGAGTCGGACTCGGTTTAGTCGGCGTCGTGACTAAACCATTGAGCGGTGCCGCGGAATTGGTCGCTCTTACGGGTCAAGGACTATTGCAGGGAGCTGGATGGAATTCCTTGCCTACGGTAAAACTCAAATAATAAAAACCTGTTTCTTTTTTTTACAATTTATCATCATCTAATTGTCTTTATTTTTCAACAGCCGCGTCAGAGACCAATCGTGCAATACACTACTGGCAATAATAGCACGTCTGTTCGATACACGTGGCGTTTGTCACCTTTGCTTGATCACAGTCATGATAGTATTCTTCACGTGACTAGCGCGGATTATGTCATTCATCAGGGCAGTAATCGGGCAGTGACGCTTGTCCTCACGCGACAAGCTCTATTACTTGTTAATATGGCAGAGGATAGCGTAGAGCGAATATTCTCGTTGAAAGAATTGACGAGCGTTGATCATATCACAGACTCGACCATGTTGTGCTTGTATTGTCCACCAGCCACGACACAATCAAGCAGGCCTTTATCACCAGCCGATCACGAGGTAAAATGAGCTCGATTTTATGAATTTATAAATCGGACTTATCATGCGATTTTAATGTATTTAATGTATCATTCTAATATACCTTTTAAGATGAATCAAGAAATGAGAGCGCGAGTTGAAGAATACGTGCGGACAAGCAGCACCGGTTTGGCCAGTGTATCAACTAATAGCGACAGACAGTCCGATACCTTCGAGAAAACGTCCCCACATCCAGAACATACACTTACGTTTTATGTTTGTCCAGATACCCGTAATTATTTACTATCATTGTTTAACATTGCTAAACGACAAAACCAGGGTTCTGGTTTCGCTGTTTTATAATGAAATAAACTTCCAAACATTTATTATTAACTATAACGAGAGACTGAAAGAAAATATTCCAAATAATTCTGTATGTCGAATCAAATGCATTTAAAATATTTTCTTTGGGTATTGAAACATCTATATTGGTATACTTTTGAAAAAATTTTATATATTTCGAGAAGTTAACAAATGGAAACGGTATTATAAGAAAAAAATTTTTTAATATTCAAGTAAACAATTAATATTCCAAAATCATTGTATTTGAACCATATTTTTAATTTTTATTACAGTATATTGCATAATTGACGCTTTATATATCGTTTTGCAAAAGAAACATTAAAGGACATTTGTTACAAATTTATAGCATAAATTTATTATAAATCTATACAAACTATATAATTCTGTAAAATAATTACAATAACGTGTTACTTATTGCTTCATACAGAAACGTACAAATTGAAGGAAAACACATGTATAACATGTATAAATATTATTTATAAGTATAATATATAATATGTATGAGATAAAGTAAAGAAACAAGTTTTTATAAACATTATTTACACATATAATTGTCAACTTTATATGAATGTGAATTATATTATACGTGCCAAAATATTGTGAGCAATCTTAATATTAGAATTGTCATAAATGATGTAATATTGATCTCTAATGATTCAGTGTATTACAATAATATATTTTGCATACTGTCCTTACATAGATTTGGCAAATAAATGTGAAAAAGCTCGAGTTATATCAATAAGAACTAAAATATTCTCTTATTGATAATATATTTTATAATCTTATTGCTATCTATTTAAAATACTGTTATGGATTCGTTCAATATCGCTCAATTTATAAAAAAGTCCACAAGATTTACACTGACTATTCTCAATAGATAATAATACTTTTCTACATATCACATGTTTACAGGGAAGCTTATAAAGAATACTATTATTACAACATTTACACTCACTAGATATATTATGTAATTCCACTTTTTCTGGTGCATTGAAGCGTTTAATGTTTAACAATAGACTCTTTACATTCCCATCTAAGGAACTGTCGACATTAGCTATCAGATTTTCTGATTTATTATCTCTAATATGATTATGAGTATTATTATAAACTAATTTAGAGGAATTTGAAATTTTTGTCACTTGTTCTGATCTCTCTCTAGCATTGGCAGTGGATTGTTTGGAACACACAACAATTGTTGGCAATTTATGGCAATACCTCTTTGTCTGTTGTAAATAATCATCCATTGTTTGCTTGCATGCTTCTAATTTAGCATCTTCGACAGTTCTCTTTAATAAATTTTTATTTAACACACACTTTGGTACTTCAATTATCCTTCTATCTCCTGCTATAGCTGAATTTGAAGCATGACCTAAGACTCTTGGTATACTCTTTATTTCATTCAAATTGCTATTGTCCAACAAAAATTTATCAATCCTCGACTTCAATGCAGTTGCCATGATTGGCTTACGATGTTCATTAAATACAATGCCAGTGAATGGATCTGATAATGGTCTACCCCAAATTGCTTCATTTCGTCCATATTTTTCTAATGTAGCCTGATCTATCACATTGCCACTAGGTAATGTAATCGGCTGAGTCATTAACTCCAATGTAATAGGATCTTTGAAACTCTCAGGAATTTCGAGCTTTGTTTTACCCTCTTGTCTAAATATATAATATGAAAAATATTTTTAGCTTAGAACAATAATGTATGTAATATATTATAAATATATACAAACCTGTTGTCAGTAGTCTTTGCAGAGGTAATCTCTGTTTTATATTCAGTTGTAGACAATGACAATACAGCTTCATGTTTGGACCATAAAGTATATACATTTGCGACAATGTCTTTTCCACAACGAGGTGATACTGTTCCCCAAACTTCAATCTTTCCTAACGCTGGTACTGACTTCTCCGTTTTACATATTGTTATTCGTAAAACATGAGCATATGAAGTTAAGTGTCCTATCCAGACTTTAATATAACGTTTTAAAAAATTTGCTGGTGCAGGGATTTTTTCAGGCTTAATGTCACTCGGATAAAACAACAATCCAGCATCGGAGGGACTCAGAAATCCACTGGACAATAAAGTATAAGGGGTATTGCAATCATTGGTATTTTTACAATAAAGTTGAAAGCCTGATGATTTCTGCGATCCCACAGATGGCCAAATCAATATATGATTTATCCTGATGTTACAAAGAAATGTGATGTCTATATGAACTGGTGGTTTAATGCAGGAATATGCCAGAAATCCTTTGCAAGAATCATTTATCAAATTCGTCACCTCGTATCCTTCTGTGCTGATGGTACTGCATTTGATCTCTGGACGTAAGCGAGGGTCACAAAAATTCAAAAGCATTTTCTTTTTATTCGCAGACCACCAATGACACATACAATAATAAAATGCACGTCAGTTATGTGGATATCCAGGCATAATATCTGCGGCTCGAAAATATTTAATAACGAAACTGAATGTTAGAAAACGATTGTAAGCTATGAGATAGAAAACAAATCTCTTCAAGATGTCCAACAGAGGTCTCCACAACCTCACTTACATATGTATATGAATGAATATGCTCTTGCTTTAATAAAAAACAAAAGTATATGAATGAATGTATGAATGATGACAGTCACCAGCTTTACTTATATGAATGAATGTATGAATGATAGTCTATGGCTACGCGGAGACCGCTAGGAATACTTTGAAGCGTTTGACTGACCAATCAGGACAAAAGGAATAAAGGTTTTTTTAACCTGATTGGTTAATCAAACGCTTCAAAGCATCCTCAACGTCTTCTCGACCGCAGTTTATGATACATATTAAAAATTAATTATTAATACATATATAGAATTTATCAAATTAATCACTGATTCTTCTGAAGTTTTTATAATTAAGACTCGAAAAATATAGATGTTGCAAAATATTTTAAGTCTCTTCCTTTATATAAAACATAAAGAATTCATATGTTCCATTCTAATATAGCTAACACTATTTAATAATTTATATTTTTATTATCATTTTCATACCAGCATAATACTTTTGTGCTTAATACACTTTATATAATATAATGTACTAAATTATAAAATTTAATTCACTATTCGACTGATTGCGTTCCGACTCGCTTTTTTATTCGATATATATAAATATTTAATTAATTAATCGAACGATTGCATTCCGATTCATCTTTTCGTTCGATATATATAAATATTTAACGAATTAATCGAACGATTGCATTCGGCTTGCCATTTTACTCGCCGCGTTACAGTGAATATCGCGCGAGAGAGGCAGGCAACATGCGCGGCGTCGTACACGATTTCAACCGTCCGCGCGCAGACGAAAAACGGCCAATTTATATCTCGACTTCCGGACGCGATAGCGATTTCGTTCTTTTTGCATAAAATTCTACACCATTTCGCGGCACTACCGTTTAAATCTCGTTCCGATCGCCCGAGGAGCGGCTGACTTACAGTGAATATCCGAAATCTGCTTCTTGGACTCACACTTAAGTGTAATATTTATATATATCGAATAAAAAAGCGAGTCGGAACGCAATCAATCGAATAGTGAATTAAATATTTATATATACGAAAAGATGAATGCATTCGTTCGATTAATTCGTTAAATATTTATATATATAAGTATTTAACGAATTAATCGAACGAATGCATTCCGATTCGTCTTTCTTAGCGCTACAAAATTACAGGATATCTCATATAGCACCAGAAATTGTGCACATTATATGTTACCCATTGAAAATATTTGGACTTGGCTTCGTTTTATATCTAGAGGGCATATCACTTTAATTGATCAAGCAGTGTGTTGTCAGGTGGGCTTTTTTTGCGCATATGCAAATATATATAATATCAATTAAAACATAGTGGTGTAGATAAATAGTGAGCGCAAAAATCTTGGTAAGCCTAGACAATAAAGATAAATTTTATATATATAAAATAAATAAGTTTATATTTTTTAATAATGGAAAATGAAAAAAAAAATTAAAAAACGAAATTAAAATTAAAATTTCAACAAGAGATTTACAATTATTAAAGATTTTTAGGCGGGTGATTAATGACATTCTTTTTTATTAAACACGTGTTTCGACAGCTGTTATAAAATTAAAGCAGAAGATAATCCACGTGTTTAAATTATTAGTTTTATAAGCCTCTTACAATTTTCTATATTTTTTTCTATATTTTTTCTCTGCAAAATTTTAATTTTTCTTAAAAATATTATCTTTTTTCTATTATTGAATACAGAAAATGCAATATAATACAGAACAAATTTCTGTTTCGATATGATAGATTGCCAATTTTACTGGCGTAAAATCTTCATTCATATAGATACACACAGATGGTACTACCAGTTTTTGTAACACAGGTTGCGTTCCGTTTCATGCATTATGTACAAAAAATCTATAATATACGTAACGTAAATTATAGATTTTCTGCGCATCAAGGTGCAATTTCATTGACGCTAGAAACCAGCGGCAAATTAAAATCACTAGACTTTCTCTAGATATGGCGTCAATAAAATAAAGTTCAAACAGTTTCAACTTTTTCAGTGTGTAAAGCGGCCTTTTCATTGACGCTACTTTTTAGCGTCAATGAAATTGCACCTTAACAGTTGGCAGCCCTACGAGATAGGCTGTGCAGCACTGCGCGTATATAAAATAAATTTGAAATCGCTTCTAGCCTAACCATCTTCACGCGATCGACTTTATTTGAATTGCACGGCATCGCATCGAATTATGATGCGGCGCCGATTTGTTCGAACGTATTTCGGGATATCGCGATGCTGTATAAGCGTCGAATGAGCACGAATTGTCACGCAAATATGATAAATCACATCTACTCACCGTTCACCGGCTGTTCCACAGACCGCTCCACTCGCTCGCCTCGGGACGTCCCATTCCGATCTTGATGCACACGATATCATCAACGCGAACGCGCGACACTTTATTCGGCATTCCCGATATTCGCTCGCATCCGATAATCATCATCAAGGGCGCAAATAACACGACGCGACTTCGCTCCATCTTCGCGATCGCGCTATCACTGAACTGTGAAAAATAGCTGTCGCGCACTTTCACCGACATATTATGAAAGTCGCGCGATCATCCTTGGACACTTTCGACGCTCTTTCACTCGCGATATTCGTTTAAAAACGGTTAAAAGACGCGAAAAATGCGAACGTACGACGATCCGTGTAACTGCGTGATGACTCCGAGTCACGTATGACGCGTTTGACGTAGCTATGACGCGTATGACGTACAGTCACGCGCTAACATGGCGGCCGAACCAGTGCGCAGAAACGAATGCGCACTGGTTCGGCCGCCATGTTAGCGCGTGATCGCTACGTCATACGCGTCATTCGTGAATTGGAGTCACACGCAGTTACACGGATCGTCGTACGTCCGCATTTTTCGCGTCTTTTAACCGTTTTTAAACGAATATCGCGAGTGAAAGAGCGTCGAAAGTGTCCAAGGATGATCGCGCGACTTTCATAATATGTCGGTGAAAGTGCGCGACAGCTATTTTTCACAGTTCAGTGATAGCGCGATCGCGAAGATGAAGCGAAGTCGCGTCGTGTTATTTGCGCCCTTGATGATGATTATCGGATGCGAGCGAATATCGGGAGTGCCGAATAAAGTGTCGCGCGTTCGCGTTGATGATATCGTGTGCATCAAGATCGGAATGGGACGTCCCGAGGCGAGTGAGCGGAGCCTGTTGAACAGCCGGTGAACGGTGAGTAGATGTGATTTATCATATTTGCGTGACAATTCGTGCTCATTCGACGCTTATACAGCATCGCGATATCCCGAATTACGTTCGAACAAATCGGCGCCGCATCATAATTCGATGCGATGCCGTGCAATTCAAATAAAGTCGATCGCGTGAAGATGGTTAGGCTAGAAGCGATTTCAAATTTATTTTCTATACGCGCAGTGCTGCACAGCCTATCTCGTAGAGCTGCCAACTGTTAAACGATAAATTTTTTCAATCTAACCTAACCTAACCTAACCTCTCAGTGCTTTGGATGTCGAATGTAAACACAAGCGTATGCTGCCTGGATTTTATCATGCTTTCAAAAATAATATTTAATTATTTCATTAGTGTATTACATTTTAATACGTAGTATATTAATCGTATTAAATGTGCGACGTACAGTTTTATACATTTTAATGAGAAGCATATAATATAATTGGTTAGGTTAGATTAAATTAAAACAAGCTGCTGTGATTCATTTAACGTAATAGGATTAATTTGACGAATGTGCAGCTGTTGAAGTTACATGATATTTGTGGACACATTTTTAAAGTAATCATGAGTGTCTTATCTCATCTTGATTATATGAAATTAAAATATAAAATATTTATGTATTCCACATTAACGTTATTCATTACAAGTACTATATTACTTTTCTTATATCTCAATCATATTTCATCGATGAAGCTTTTCATATATCGCAGACAATATGATACTGTTTGTGGAATTTTACACAGGTAATACATGGCACAAAAATAATTTGTTCTAAAGTATTGTGCGCATTTCTCAAAAATAAATCAAATTAAATTATTTTCAGAATCCAAAAATCGCTACATTGCCAGGATTGTATCTTATTATAACTGCGATATTATCACCTTTTAATATGTGTGCGCAGTATTACATACATAAAATATATAAATTTATTTGAAACGTATGGAAATCTCTGTTTTATTTATAATATTTATAATATTATAAAAGAAAATTGCAACTCTAATGAAACAGAGCGGTGAAGTAATTGGTTGATACTTATGCTGGTCTACAATATTTACCTTTTTTTCACCATTAGACTGGTGCTTTTTTTATTATACAGATGTTATCTGTAAATATAGTACTCGTAATGTTGTTTCTGTATTACTGTAAGCACACAAAAATGATAGCATTTGCAAGTAATTATGTTATACTTATATATCATAAGAAAGAGAAAATAAAATTAAAGTTGAATACTGAATGTGCTCTAAAGTAAATCTCATCTAAATAAATAAATGCATAAATGTGCGCCTCACATTCCTCATGAAAAAAATACATAATATTAATCTTTATGTATTATTATTTTTAGATTTGTTTTTTATTCTTTTAAATTCTCTAGATGCACTTTTCTTCTCTCTTTCTTTCCAACTACTAAATATAGATCTATCATTTTTAATATAGATCTGTCATTTTTAGTGTACATTATTGCAGTAAGTGGAATAAAGAGCAAATCTTTTGGCACATTTAAATTGTACAGGAAAGTCAGTTTTATCTGATGCGTTTTTTTCAATAGAAATATCTGAAAAAATTCATACGTCTTTTTTAATCTTAGTCTTTCTAAATAAAAATTAGAATAATAAATTTGCAAAATAATTTGTTTTAATATATTTTTAGTGCAAACATATGAAGCAAAGTGCTCAAGGTGCATCACTATGAAAACATCGATAGAATAAAAAATAGATCGTATACAAAAAAATTAAAATGTTTACACTACATATTTGATATAGCATTTAATCGATATGTGCAGTAATACGGTAAAATCTAATTTTCTCTCGAATTTTTTCACGAAATTTAAACTACTAAAAAAATATCAAATATTCAAATTGTTCAATAGTCTT